AGACTTTTGTAATTTATTGTGATTTTCTTTTCTTCGGTTTGTGATTATAGCATTTTGATGGTTGTTTTGGGGGACAGATAGCAAAGACTGTTACATATGTATGTGTTGTATTCGGCTCCGTCTGTACACTTCTTAGTCATGAAGGGGGGGGGCGGCCATGTTGGACACAAATAGCAACGATTCAACACTAAATCAGATGTTCTGTCGATGACTGCAAAGGGAATATGTTGTTGGGAGTGATTCCCATGTGTTGTGACCAAACTGTTGATCATTCTCATTCGCTGTAATACTTATCTCAACACTCTCACAGTACAATTTTAAAGCACTTAAACAGTGACTGATCTTTAATTTTCCAGCGTCCTTCCTCGTCCAGCTCATGCCGACCTCTGAGCGGTTTGTGAGCGTGACAGACTGATGTATTTTGTGCGGTAGCATGTAGAGCTCCGGTGATAATCCAGTCACCGTTTAAATCCTTTAGTCAAATGAAATCTGGCTTTCTTTCCTGTGTTGATGCTCTGATTGTAAATTAAATATACTCCCAAGAATCCCTCTTTGTCCTTTTGCTGTGTAACTGGTTTTCATTTCAATATTTCCCTGCATCATATACAGAGGTGCTGCTTGTCAACTGGCAAGAGCAGGCTCCCGCTTGGGGCGCCAGTCCAGTAGGGGACAAACTTTAAATCACAGCAGTGATGTTCTAAATGTACAACCTTTGCAAAAGATAGATAACTTCGATAATAAACCCTAACTTAGATAAGTCCCTAAGAAAACCAAAGTTTGTCAGTGAAATGCACAGAAGGAAAATGAAAAGGAATGATCCGTGTGGGAGTGGAAAAAACGGTTATTAGACAGGACAGCTGAAGGGAGGAGAGAGTGGGGGGGCAGCAGAGGGCCTAGGTCAGATGCAAACCCACTGCGAGGAGGACTATGGCCTCTGTACGTGGGACATGCGTCATAAGCACTAGACCTTAAGACTGCTGCGGCCCACTTTGAAATACAAAAGTACACCGGGGCCCGTTATAAAATAACAAATATGACTACAGCTCCCACTTTCAGTTAGGGTAAATATTGGATATGACAACATGATATTATGGCAGGAGAGACACAAAAGTTTACTACACATTATGTCCATGAATAGTCAGCTTATCTTATTCCATAATGGATATGTAATCCCTCCAGTGAGCTCTGGATCTCCTCCCAGTTGGACGTGCCTTGAAGACCTCCAAAGGGAGGCGTCCAGGAGGCTTGTGAAAACAGTGTGAAACAAACAACTTGTCAGAGAGAATGGCCTATAAATGGGTTGCGCCATGCTTACAGATGAATTATCATAAAGCATACTAGAGCAGGAAAACCTTAATTATCAAAGGACATAAAGTTTCCATGGATCATTATATTTGTTTTTTTTACTAAAACATGTTATAACCTCAAAGCATGCAACAACCTCACCTGTCTGTTTTGTTATGTGCAGTCTGCCTTTTGACCACTAGATGGCAGTGAACACAGATGACGGTGCAGCAGCATCAGCCTGAACACACCTAGAACGTTGTCTTTGTGTTTCTTATCTCTTGGAGCAGGAAGAAGACGGAGAGGATGGACTTTTCTCATCATTGGGGGGTTTGTAGACTAGAGACACATATTAGAGTTAGAGAAACATGATGAAGTAGATTTGACATAATGTGACCTTTGACCTTTGGGGGGAGTTTGACTTGCAGAATGAGCACGTTCAGCTACCTGTCAGAAAAAACTGCAGCTTTTTGTGCTTTACTTAAATGAATACTGATTAATTATCATAATAAATAGTTTGAGCATGAAATATGTTTCTAAGGTTCTTTGCAATAGTGTCGTATGTCTGCTCCAAAAGAAGAACTGCAGTTATAAACAGGAAGAGGAAGCAGCAGTAACATCCAGAAGATTTATTTGTATTTAACAAACGTTTATTATTTGAAAAGTAATCAAAACAACAGCAGTCACAGAAATTACAGACAGCTTCGATACTGTGTGATTTTGAGTGATAGTCGTAAGATAAAACCGTATTACAGGTTTGTTGTTGGTGTGTTTATTGAGCCACTACGGTGCTTAACGTAGTCTAAAATACCGTGAGAGACGGAGTGAAGGTGATTAGTGAAGTCGAGTGCTAAAAGGTCGACTTTAGTCAAAGTGTTCCAGCTTTGACCTTTTCTCTGACTGCGTTTGGAGAGTGGTCATAAAAACACTTGCAGTTTCAGGTGCGAGTGTACAACAAGCAGATGTTCCAAGAAAAGACACCAATCTATCAGTGTTTAAAAACTAAAACACGCCCCCCCCCCCCCCTTAAAATAGCCCTCAACAGAGTTTAACATGGGTTATACAGTAGAGTTTGCAAAGCAGGGGTTAGTACCTGCCGTGGTTCTTTGGATGTGTAAATAAGATTTTATTCAGAGGTCGAAATGTAAATTCAGGCTGAACAGTCATCTCTAGCTGAATGGAAACTCACTTTGCTGCAGAAAGAGCAGATTTCACCAACTGTTAGCTCATGAATAAAGCAAATGTTAGCTCCATGGTGTCGATGAAATGCTCTTAAATGTTCCCATGAGGGCTGCATGGATGATATGATCCGAAAGAACTCAGTATTTTTAGAAACTTGAACTTAGCTTCTTGAAATAAACGGCCAAAAGGCAAGAGGAAAGAAACACAAATTGCTGTTTCGCATTCTTCTTCTTCGTTAAATTAATCGGCGGGCTGATGTCATGCTATTACGTAGCTGACGTGGCTATCACCACCCGGCGTACAAACCGCCTTACCATGTAAGGGGAAGGCTGGCTGTGGAAACGCAAGCCTCATGTGTAGGGTTATGTGTACCAGACGGTTCTGTGCAGAATCCAAACGGACCGCTTGGTGGGATGCATGCCCGGTACATTTTCATTTTTTGATAATGACACATTGTTTTGGCAGACGTAACGCTTTTCAGTCATTTCTCACTTCTGCAAAGTGTCTGTGTGGAAAAGTCAGTGCAGCCTGCTTTAGCATTGAAAATAATGACGCTTTCAACCCATTCAACCAAGAGGCGACTGTTTCCTACACGTTGCAAAACTTTGATTTGAAGGCGTCAACAGGTTGAGTAGGATCCTCGTCTTTAAAGAATATGGAAACACTTTCATAACATGATGAGGATATTATCTCTAAGAGGGAGCGATGCTTTGCTTTTTTAAAGTCTTTATATGTGATGTTTTGATCCAGCAGATGTCGCCCTTGAGCTCCAGCATGAAACCAAAACAACTGGCGCTGCATTGTTGTGTTAGCATGCTAATGCTAGTGATCTTTATTATGCTGGTATCTTCACACTGCATGTAAATTTACCTGAAATGAGCGTGATCTAGAAACACAGTTAAGCAGTGAGTACAGTATGTTATTCTTCTTTTCTCTAGTCCCTCAATTAAACAACTTTTATACACGAGGGGAGGAGTCAGCCGGCCGTCCTGGCGATGTAAACAAAGTGAAGATAGGACTCTGAAAACTCTGAAAACATCACAGACAGTGGGACTCGGGTGTTACACCCATTGTAGACAGTCATGACTCACAGAGTTATTTTCAGAGGAGATACTTGATTTATATTTAAGTGTAAAAAATCACAAATAAAGACTTTAAACTATCTTGGGAACAGTTGGCTTTGTTTTGTAGAGTGTGACACTCACACAACACTAGGCTGGATGAACCAGTTTCTGGACTGACCAAGCGGCAACCTCTTGTGGTCTTGCAAAATGAAGCCGACGGGAAAGTGCAAAATCCTGCAGTCTGTCGAGTGTCCACTTCAGGCTGACTGCAGGAAGTCACATACACACCACATTCAAAAAAAGCCTGTTGTTAGAGCAGAGATTAACATGTGTACAGCCTGGTACAAAAACGGGGGGGGATAAAAAAAAAAAAAAGGCTCCTTTTTGATTTCATGAACTGGTAAATATCATAACCTGTAAAGTAATATATACGTCTAACATGTGGTGGATGTCTGCGTGGCTGCTGAGGTGAGGTTAAAGGTCGAGGTAAGTCAATGTAGCTCACTCAGATGCGTGTTAGTCTTTGGTCTCGATGTGATGACGACGACGTGTGAATAAAACAAAATCCAGATGATTATTATTAGAATGTATTTTCAGTATCAAACTGAACAGACGGCATATTGCACTCTTTATTTTGTCAGTAGATTTCCAGGGTGCTGATGGCGTCTGAAGAACGTCTACAATCATTGGTGTGAAAACACGGCGTCTGCCATGTGACAGTGAGGATAACGAGGACTTGAAATGAATCCGTCAGAGGCCGTGCGGGTCGATCGGTGACAGTTTGATGATTTGTACAGTTTTCACATTTGAGTAAAAAAGTAGAGAAAAAAAGGCCACTCATAAAAAATAAAAAAGGTTTTTCATCTGTGCTATAATGCTTATTTTAAAAAAAGAAGAAGTTTGTCATGAATTACCTGAATCTGCAAATGTTTTCGTTTGGTATATACATGAAAGTGTCGACACCGATGAGCCAATCATAACGTTAACACGGACTAGCCAATGGTTATACTGGCAACAAACTGGGAAAAGGAAATCACACCGTACCAGTTTGTGTCTTCTGGCTCACACACACCGTATCACCACACCTCAGATTCAAATCATTAAGAATCAACCAGCTCAAACATACTACACTGTACACACACACACACACACACACACACACACACACACAGAGACAGACACACACACACACACACACACACACACACACACACACACACACACACACACACACACACACACACACACACACACACACACACACACACACACACACACACACACACACACACACACACCACACACACACAGAGACACACACAGAGACACACACACACACACACACACACACAGAGACAGACACACACACACACACACACACACCACACACACACACAGACACACACACCACACACACACACACACACACACACACACACACACAGAGACACACACAGAGACACACACATACACACACACACACAGACACACACACACACACACACAGACACACAGACACACACTCACATCACTTACACTTAAGAAAATATATTCAGCACACACACTCACAAGCGCCTGTCTTGTGGTTTTGCATTAGTACCACATGAGAGAATCAAATGTGCTTGGAAAATAAAAATGTGCAAATTCTAATCAAGGACAAAATGAAACGGCAGTCATGAAAAAAAAACTGCTTCAGTAAAAAAAAAAAAAAAAAAAAAGGATTAAAATAACAAAATGTTTTCAATGATTCAAAGAATCAAACAATGAACCAGTCAAAAAGAGCAGAGTGCCCATCACCCGTTAAAAAACATTATGGAGGCCTTAAGCGGACATGCATCCAAACGTTCTGATTACTCCACCTTCCTGTTTGTTTGCTCGAGTTCTCAACTTGTTTATCTTGACATTTCGGGAAGACAAAGCTGGTTTTTCCTTTATAATAGATACTTTCAAATTATTCTCTCGAGATATCAAAGTCTTCTCTTGATAATGAGACAATTTTCTGCCGATCCAAACAAAGGCTGTTTTCACATCTGCACTCCTGAAAGTATCTGGATCATTTCAGCCGTTTAATCATCGTGAACACACACAATGTATTGACTCTAATCACAGGATATAAACCATCACCAGCCCCTCCCACCTGCTGGAGGGGACTTCTCCTGATAATATCCTGTTGTGTTCTCACATCAGCTCACTCGGACTTGCTGCGGAAAAAATACTAGAAGTCTGGCAAGAGAAACTGCGGGGGAAGTCTGAGTCTGTTTGGTCTCACACATACCTCCTGGTGTGAAAACCCTACAGTATGTGATAGGCCAGACCTCAACATGCCATGTTGCCATTGCCCAAATTAATAAAGTTTTGTCAATAAATAAGTTGAGGTCTCCTGGACATGACTTGCTATCATGGAGAAATGGAGTAAATAAAAATGTAAGGATGTATGTCTGCTCGAGGCTTCCCCTGAAAACAAAACAATAAACATCTTACACTTTTCTTTTTCAGAAAAAGAAACCAGTCAAACGTCACACACGTACTGAGTGTGCTAAGCTTTTTTTTCTCACCAAGCTGCTATCGATTGCTGTGATTGGAGCTCAGCTGGCGGCATATCACACTTCTGCAAAACTGTGTGTGCAGAGCCGGCAGTGGAAAAGTCAATTAAGCCCGCGATGGCATTGAAAAAGCAATACCGATGGTCTGTACGGATTAGATGTGCCGACCTCTGTGAAAAACAACAACGAGAAGTGAAAGCAAAAGAAGTGGAAACCTGATGGATACACAAAGGCCTATACAGTTTAACCCCACCAACAGTAAAAGTGGAAATCTCTGTTCACATACTCTGCATTGTTTCTTAAAATATATATGGTATAATCCACCACCTCAGACACACCACAATCCAGTCAAGGCAGTCAGGCTGTACAATCCCTCCATGGCAACGCGATTGGAGCCAACGCCGCCTGAGTCCATGACGTCAGTGTTGCCCCTCCCTCTGTTCCCTGTCGCTCAACAGTGGGCGTGTCTGGGATCAGGCTCATGTCGCTGCCTCAGGTCCTCAATCGTGTCTTTTAGTCTGTTTTGTGTACACTGAGCGTCCTCCACCAAAAAGCAGATCCTGGAGGTCTTCTCTTGTGACGTCCGGGAGGAAAGAGAGCCGACACTGAAAGGGGCGGGTGGGGTGGGTGGGGGGGGGGCTACGAGGGATGCAGACGCCCCCTCTTCACTCAGCACTGCTCAGACTCAATGAAGCCCTCCTTCTCCTGACCCACCGGCTCCACCTCCGCGTAGGCCGGGTGGCCCGAGCCCCGGCGAAACTTCATGGCCGGCCACCTGCTTGGGCGTCTCTGCAAAGTTGGACAGGAGAGGAGAGGCATGAGGAAAGTGTTTCTCACATGTTCTGGTTTTACTTTGTTAGGACGGGAGGAGGCGGAGACTCATCGTCCATCTTTATATACAGTCAATGTCTGAAGTCACTCCCTCTTCACTATAAGGTGCACTATATAGAGGAGAAGACATCATTTTGTGGTTGATGCACGAGTCGTTTTTTGGGGACTGTTTTCAGCTGTGATGTTTAAGACTCGACATGATCAATGCACCGGTTTGCCCGATGTTCACGATGCATGAAACTTAACTTCAGGCTGTGCAATCAACATCAGAGAGTCTCTGTAATATAATTTACAAACAGTCTGTATTTCATCGTGTTAGCACCCATACAAAGTGAAAAACAAAAACACTAAATCATAATCACCATGTGTACAACCTCTCCCACCAGTTTTATTTGACATAATTTTATTACTATACTGTCCCATACTTTGTCCTGTTTGCTCATTTACTTATTTTGTCCCTCTTTCTAATTCATTCATTTTATTAACTGACCCTTTTCCTTTTGTTTTGTTTGTTTGTTTGTTTTTGTCTAAATCTGCTTGCAAAACTGGATCGTACCACAGTTCCCCTCTTGTTTGTATCTCTTTTTTTATTTATTGTGTGAGTGTGTGTATGCACGTTTTGGTGAATAAAAAATAAATAATTTTTTTTAAAAAACATCAGAGAGTCTCTGTGACTGACGACGACCTTGTGATACGAGAACATCTTTGAACATGTTTTGTTTTTTCAAAGATGTTTGAGCTCCATGCGTCGTATCACACTCTGCAGCAAACAGCACCGACACCTCGACCAGGGGAATTTAATTTCACTTATTAAGAAAGACTGTGCACCAAGTTTCATCATCTTCATGCATATGCATGAGTCAGGAATTAGAGGATGAAACACACTGAGCTGCTGTGTGTTTGTACAGATAGCTGTTCTTGGCATCACACTTTGCAGTTTTAGAAGTCAGTTTGTCCGAGTAAATAACCGACTTCTCGTGCACGTTTCAGTTCAGAAGCTTTCTTCAGTCAAACGTTGGAGCTGTCAGTCTCTAAAGCTCCATCTCCTCTCACCTCAATGAGGAAGAGGCTGGGGGCCGAGGTCGGGTGATGGTAGATGTACACGGTGACCAGCACGCCAACAATCATGATGAGTACCACCAGGAGGATGCCGAGGATCAGACCGATGTGCAGAGGGTGTGACCCTGGCATCCTGTCTGCAGCGCTGTCTGCAGGCATCACTGGAAAAACAACACACACACAAAAAATGACAATTTCATTGATTTCTTTCACACTTGCAGGATTGCAATGACCATATAAGGTAATTAGGATATCCTACAATTCAATCTATTTCACTGCAGCTTTAACATGCTTTTTTGTCTTTGTCAGGAAGGGTGCAAGTTAGCTTTTAAGCTAATCCTGGATCGTTGACATTGATGTCCTTTAATGTCAGTCATAGCAAACAAAGAGCTGGTGTGTTTAACTAAAAAAACTCTTCAAAGAGAGCCGGTGAAATGCTGATGTAAGTCTTGGACATTTGTTTCTTTGAGCTGCTGTTTACTTTCCGTTCATTGCTATATAAATCATTAAGTGTGTTAAGACAGTGTTCATACAAACGGCTGAAATGCTGAGATACTTAAAGGATTTCTTATTTTCTGCTGTTCATGAGTTGGCCAGCAGGGGGCACTCATCATTCAGCAATACCTTCCATTCTTATATCTGCAAATTGAGCCTTAACATATACATTGCATGTTTTTTTTAAAGCTCAGACCTTTGCTAAACATCATCACATTGACTGAGAGAACAGACACCAAACAGAGACACTTCACTCCTTCACTGATGCAACGTTTGAAAATAGAAATGTCCAACACTCTGGGATCACACTCAGGGTTAGGGTTAACGCTGGGTCTTTAGGACTCTGTGGCATGAGCGTCTTGGGTTCTGTTTAGGTATTCATGAGCAGTTCTTTTTCTCTCCTGCAAGTACAAATAATCCTAAACCAAGGTTAGAAGCATATGTTCCTGATAGGAGGTGAGAACAGGCCGATAGGTGCAGATAAGAGTCCAGTTGTCGCCTCCAGTCGTGTCAATGCAAACTGAAGAGGCTGTGTACAGTGACTACATAACAAGTCTGTCCTTCACTGCCTCTTTAAAGGCATCAGTCATCTTTGAAGTGCTTCCTCAGATACATAGTGGAGCCTCAAAGTCGACCCAGCAGGTGTTTTTTTTCTTTTGAAGATGAAGCGAGCATCCTTTAAACTAATATCTGTTTTCATCTACTGAGGCACATTTCCCAACTCTCAAAACAAGAGAAACATCACCAGCAATCTGTCGGCTGGAAGAACTAATCAGATAGGAAAAAGAACAAAACACAAAGGGAAACTGTTCTGAGATTTAAAGCAGGTTCAAGCCCAGATCTATGCACAGATTTCATCTTCTCTGCCCCCCCCCGACAACCTCCTCCCTGCCTTTAATTAGCAGCTACAGCCACCGCCGAGCCTGTCAGCCAACCAGACGCTCCCTCCTCCTGGCTCCCCGCCTCATTGATTCCCAGCTCACAGAATAGCCGGGTGGTAATCAAACCTGTCCAATGCATGTGGGCAGTCGCTGTGAACGCCTGCTTGTGTAATTCAGTACTGAATGTGGATTCCAAATATGGATGATTGGTCGTGCTGAAACATCCTCTGCAATGGTTTCACACTAAACTAACAATAAAAACTGAACAAAGCCATCTCCATAACCCAGCTGACAAACTGATTCCAAGATGCAACTGTACATATCCACTGAGAATAAAATCAACCTGACAGAGAAAAAGAACATTATGACTTTCTCAATGAAAAAAAAACATTCAGGGGGAAAGCTGATTTTCTGTGTTTCTCTTGTGTTTTTTTCTGTCAGAGTTCGAGAGCTGTCGAGGTCTAGCTGAAGCCGAAACAATGCGACAGGCTGTTAGTCTGTGGTGTTGGTAGGTGAAGCAGGGGGCATGAGACTGACAATGATGCTGCAGACACAATGAGAAATCAAACTAAATAAATATGCAGCAGGATGCTTGTAGTGAAGATGGGTCAATCTGGATCCCTGAAAGAGCTCAAAGACCGATCTGGACTCTTTCTAATCTCCACATTTAAGGGGTGTGGCAGTAACTCAGTCTGTAGGGACCTGGGTTAGGGGCCTGGGTTAGGGACCTGGGTTAGGGACCTGGGTTAGGGACCTGGGTTAGGGGCCTGGGTTAGGGACCTGGGTTGGGGACCTGGGTTGGGGACCTGGGTTGGGGACCTGGGTTGGGGACCTGGGTTAGGGACCTGGGTTGGGGACCTGGGTTGGGGACCTGGGTTGGGGACCTGGGTTGGGGATCTGGGTTAGGGACCTGGGTTAGGGACCTGGGTTGGGGACCTGGGTTGGGGACCTGGGTTGGGGACCTGGGTTGGGGACCTGGGTTAGGGACCTGGGTTGGGGACCTGGGTTGGGGACCTGGGTTGGGGACCTGGGTTGGGGATCTGGGTTAGGGACCTGGGTTAGGGACCTGGGTTAGGGACCTGGGTTGGGGACCTGGGTTGGGGACCTGGGTTGGGGACCTGGGTTAGGGACCTGGGTTAGGGAACTGGAGGGTCGCCAGTTCAAGTCCCAGTGCAAACCAAACATGGAAGTTGGTCTGGTAGCTGGAGAGGTGTCAGATCAAGATAAAATTTAAGTCTTAAATCTATTTTCTCTGATTTATTTCATCCATTTTTTTTCCGACATGACCGCTAGGCTAACGGCGCCCCCACTTTCAAATGTTAGTCCAACTGAAATCGTACCAGGCGTTCTGCACACGCTCTACAGTATCCATGCTGGACTTCGAACGTCAAGTCCAACAGCTAACGAGTAGCATAGCAGAAGTCTTGTTGTGGTCTGCTTTCAGGTATCACTATCAGCAGGAAGGATACCGTGCAGTATGTGCACCGTCATACAGCCAGGCAAATGGTGAAGCAGAAGAAGGTCAAGCAGTAACTAGTTGAAAGGAAGCATATCGCCACCTACTGTAGACGAGTCAGACATACTTCTGTCGACACATCGATTCTCCCTCAGTGCTTTATACTGGGACAAGGACAGCTGTCTCATTAAATCTCTGTAACCCTAACTGTAACTAACTGTGCATGCATCTAAATGGACTATGCATTGCCTGCACATTTCCCTGCATTCATTCTCCATTAGCTTTGTTTGTCTGCCTGCTAGAAGCTGAGGAGACTAAACACTAATGGACAGCAGAGCTCTTCAACAGTAAACACAACAGGAGGAGGACTAATGAGACTGGGCTGAGTTCTCGTGCTTACAGCTTTTCATCAGCGCTAACAGAAGAGCTGAACATGGCTAATGGGGGTTATTGGAAAGCTAACAATGCCAACTGAGCGTGCCTATAACTCAAACTCTTTGTTATAAGACCCTGAGGTGTTGAGTAGAAACTCCAGAGAAAGAAAATGACGTGGCCTCAACACCTCCTACCAAGGTCAAGGTAAAAAAGAAAGCCCCATGTTATGACTTATTTTGAGCCAAACAGGTAAAAAAACATCCAGCATCATATATCCAGCCCCGATGTAATAGTTTTAGTAAGTCCTCGATTCTGTGAAAAGTAGAAGCAGAATGCTTTATACTTCTGTCTGTCCCCTCCTGGTGCATGCCTCGGAAATGATTACCGTTCACCTTGACTTACATTAAAGCCAGGTATGGGTGTGAAGAAAAGGTTAAATGCATGAAATAAGATCGCATGCAGAGCGATATCATGACAGCTGGAGGTGGCGGCCTGAGCGCGCCGAGTGATGGAAGTATGATAGAAGCGTCTGATTTCCATTTCCTCTCAAGCAGCAGAATGAAGCGTTTGAAAAGCTATCTCTGAAAAGTGATGGAGATGGAAGTCGTTTCAGAGTCGACATGTTTTGCATAAATTTGCATGTGAAGCATGTTGCATTTAGTTCAAAAGAAATGTTGATTTCTGGCAGCTGTAAACATATTTACCACCAGCACAGCACTGTTCATGTACAGATACTTTTCACAGTAACCTCTGCATCCTGTCACCAGAAAGGTATTTTCACTACACCATGTTCTCTTTAGCTGCAGTTATCAGGGTGTGTTTGTGGCTTAAACATTTATTTTCCTCAGGGATTGTTGGTGGGGACGGTCTGCAGCAGAGGTCGAGCTCCCGAGTAGAGGGAGCTCCCCGAACCTGATCTGGCACTACTACCACCCGACGTCCCTGACATAAATCCTCCTGAAAAGACCAGAAAGCAACCCGGGGACAAACACCTCGGTGGTAAGAAAACACAAGAGGCGGTCAAAGAAGCAGACAGAGCGGCAAAAACAAAAGAAAGTAAAAGGCAAAGTTTATCTGCAGCCATGGCAACAGCAGTTAACGGACGCCTCCGTTGTGGGAGATGGGGGGACCTACCTTGGTTGTCTCTGAGATGCAGGGCGATCTTGGTATCATCTGTGAGGAGACAGAGAGAGAAAGACATTCAGACACATTATTCAACGTTTCTCTTTGTAGCTTGTTTTTTTGTAAATAATTCCCTGCAAGAATGAAGCTTCTTTCATTAGTGGCTCGTTTTCCTTTCAACATGAAATTGAACAACACTTTCAATTGGATTAAAAATTAATGCCCTGAATATAATGGTCCAGCATGCATAATTCAGCACGTAGAAAAATCTGTCTGGGGTTAACTACACATGTGAAATATGGAAATGTGCCGTGACCCAGTTCTCCTCCAAGGCTAGCAGGCTGCGTTTACACACAGCATAGGATTCACATTATGCAAATGCGGCACATACACCAGCAGATACATTTCACTGCACTGTGATATTCAAAGAGGAGTTTCCTTTTTCAATTCAGCACCATGTAGGCGTCTGAAATGAATCATTAAATGACTTATCATACTGTAAGTGACAGCCCTAAAAACCAGTGAGAGTCATGAATATGTATCACCGAGGAGACGACTTGAAGTCTCCCCGCGCCGCCAGAGGAGGAACACAAAGCGACTGTCTGGGTCTGTTTATATCACAAATATATGGACAAACATTTCATTTACATCTGAGAACAAGAATGCAAGTCACAAGTTTTCTAGACTGCCTCTCTTTCCTCTTATGAACACAGACATGTGACTAAAGCCTGGATCACACTGCAGGATAACCGGGCCGATTTGAGGTTCGATTCCTCCTTCCTGATATTGGTGGGGAAGGGACCAGATTCTCTTGTAGTGTAAGTGGTATAAAGATCCAATCTTAACGTCCCGATCTGCTTTGCGAGCGCCGGGGACGCCCTGATTATTTCAAACATGTTTGATATTTAGAATTTAAAATCTTGATGACTGGGGCGCTGGTGGCGCAGTGGTTGGTGCCACCCAGGTTTGAATCCCACCTGTGGCTCCTTTCCGCACTCTCTCTCTCTCTCCCTGATTTCTGACTCTGTCCACTTTCCTGTCTCTCCATTAAAGGCACAAAAAAATCCCACAAATATATATAACAAAAAATAAATCTTGATGATTACGTCATGAAAGGGTCTGGCAGAAACCGTGTGTCACTACAATAACCACGGGAGACGAGGGAGGCCAGCGGCAGGACGCAACCCGCACAGGTGCGCCGGACAACTAGAATATAAAGCGTCTGACAGAATCTGACCTCCAGCTCTCACTGAAGAATACACAACCCATGTTGTCCTCTTCTCCCGACAAATGTTTTTTCCTCTCTGAGTCTGCACAGAGAATTATAATCGCAAATTTAAGCCAACTCCATTGTTTACTTAAGTCAAGTGGCGTGCGTACCTCCGTCAGGCACGAGGACGGTTAAAGGAGACGAGTTTCTTTAAGCTGGCTGCATTCGCTCTGAAGTTTTTGTTTAATGTCAAAAGAGGGAGAGAGAGATCGAAGCTTTCCATGTCGAGATTTGTCACATACTGCCGTCCACTCGGAGACGTTTCTCTTCTGCAGTCCAACCCGTCCAGCTGTAGACAGTGAGCCACCAGTAACCTGACCTTTGACCCTGCAGCTGAAGACACAGGCCGAGAGAGTTTTGGAAACTGATCCGGTGTACATGTCAGAGAGAAGTTCTCTGCTGTGTCGGCTGCACACGACAAATACAAGAATGACTTTTGACCTCCTGCATGCTAACACACATACAGTCACACTAACGCTCGTTCTTTTAGCTCGTCTGTCAG